GGAGCCAGGCGCCGGCCCGCGGGTCGGGGTGGGAGCGCTCGCTGCGTCTTGGCTGATGCGCGGCGCAGTCGTGGGCAATGAATGAGCCTTAGAACCTCAGACAGGGCCGATCGCGCATGGAGTAAGATCGAGGGAGAACGACGGAGAACCACAGGTAGATCTGTTTATGCGCTTGTTTTTTGTTTCTACCACATATGTTGATAGACACCAGGATTACAAGCGGTACATTGGAAACGGGAAGTTTTTCATTTTAAGAAAAGTTGGTATGCAGTTTTTGTAGAAAAGCCTAATTTTTGGTTTTCTTTTTTTAATAACGGAGAAGATTTAGAGTGGTTTGGTTGTATTGTGAGGCTGAGCTTTCTCTTTCGTTATGAATAAAGACACCTATGTGCTTTATGAGGAGTGTGACTGAGGCCTGATCTTCAGTTTCTTGCTTTTTTTTGCCCCCTTTCCCCTTCTGGGGGTTGAACTCAGAGCCTTCATACTGAACTATATGCCCAGCCAGCCCTTTTTTTGTTTTTTATTTTAAGACACGTTCCCATCAAGTCTGAATTGTACAGGGTGCACTCAAATTTAGGATCCTCCTGCCTCAGCCTCTGAGATTGCTGGAATTGCAGGGCAGACTCCATCACACCTGGCTGTTAAGCTTCTTGTGAGCCCCCAAGAGCTTCGAACTTTGGGCCGGGTGGAGACGGCAAATGTACTGCTGCATTTATGTAATTAAGGACACCTTGTGCGCCTCACGGATGCTCATTAAACACTGTTTTGTGCTGAGGTGTATATTGGATGCTGAGTTTCTGGTAGCACAGAAAACCCACTTACCCTTTCTAAAACTTGAGCCCAAAGTTCATTCCTTATTATGGCTGTGGAAAATGGAGACAGTCTTAAATCCCTCGTTTCTGCTTAAATTGGGAAAGGTGGCGGGTGTACTGCAGCAGGTATCCATAACAGTGTATTTAAACGTTAATGAGTAACTTTCTGGGGCTGAAATTATTGGGTTACACTTCCATGTTGTCTGTTTAATAAATTTCATATTTTGAAATGAAGGGAGGAGAGAATTCAATAAAGTACTATTTTAATTCTCTCCCTCTCCCATGTTAGAAAATTTTGATGCAGTGTATTTATTGAAGGGTAATGTACTCCTGGGTCCATTTTCTGTAAATAGTCTTTGAGGTAACATTTTCTAACTTTAAAAATCCCCAGAGATAAACGGTGGATTTGTTTTCTGTTATAAACGTTACAGTGGCAGAGGACTTGGCCTAGCATGCATGAGTATTTGGGTTCCATCCCTAGCAGCACACAAAAAAAAAAAAAAACCCAAAAGAACCTAACTTTTTTTTGTTTGTTTGGTTTTTGAAACAAGGTCTCCCTGTGTAGTTCAGGCTGGTCTCGAACTCACTGTGTAGCCCAGCCTGGCTGAGAACTCAGGGCAATCCTCCTGCCTCACCCTCCTGAGTGCTGGGATTACAGATGTGTGCCACCATGCCTGGCCCTTAGTTTTTTGTTTTTTTTTGTTTTTGTTTTTGTTTTTTGGTGGTTCCAGGGATTGAACTCAGTACCTTGAGCATGCTAGGCAGCCACAGTGCCACTAAGCTACGTCCCTGGCTCCAGGTCTTTTTTAATATTGGAGATCGAATTTAGGACATTGTGCTTGCGAGGCAGGCACAGTGCCACTGAGTTAAGTCCCTGGCCCATCAGGTCTTTTTTATATCATAAAAGTGTTTTAGTTTTTTTAGCCTGCTTTAGGATGAATAGGATATTTTGTTAACATTTTTAAGGTTTTCACACAGTTGAAAATGCATATTGGTTTTGATCTGTTGTGTTCTTAATCTCAGTTTTTATGAAAGGAAACATTGTATTGAATGTTAAATGTTGGTAATGCTTTAGGTCTGCCTCAGAGGGAGCCAGTACAGGTTCACTGTGCATTCTTTATTTTGAGTAACTGGGTGAAACGTGTACATAATACTACCTTGGTAGATCAGACATCTTTTCCTGATTTTTTTTTTTTTAATGCCACCTGGAAACGTGGAATTTAACTCGTTAATTATTAGCTTTATTTATCCTGCTGCCTCAGGTAAAATGTAAATCTTTCTGTGACGCTAACAGTGAATGGAGCAGGATTTAGCAGAAACTGCTCTGGGACCCTGTCCTTGGGGCATTTATGCACTGAAATGTCAGAAACACTTGGTAACTAGTAATTTTTTTTTTTTTTTGTACCGGGGATCAAACTCGGGTCCTTGTGCTTGTGAGGCAGGTGGCGGAACCACTGAGCTGAATCCCCGGCCAAGTAGTCTTTATTTTAACACCATAATATGCTTGCAGATATATTTTAGTCAGACTCCTTTTTCCTAGAGATCATTTTGTAAGTCCATTTTAAAGAGAGGTGCCTTTGACAATGACCAAATGATGAGCCCTGATAGTTGCGTTTTTTTTTCCCCATTAAGTTTATTGGTACTTTTTAGCTATACAATACAGGTACATTCATCACTGGGATCATGTACTCTTACATGTTGTATCTTGAGTCTTATTTTTCTCCCTATTTCCCTGTCCTCCCTTCACCCCCTCCACCCTTCCCTTTTTAGGAAGACTTCGTTTCCATTTTTTCTGTTTCTCATAGTTTTTCTTTTCCCTTCTTTCCATTCCCCTGCCCTTCCCACTTCTGCTACTCCTTTAGCCCTTTTCTTCCTATTAAAGAATATGGATCGCTTCACGAATTTGCGCGTCATCCTTGCACAGAGGCCATCGTAGTCTCTGAATCGTTCCAGTATCAGTAGATGTGCTGCCGAAGTGAGCCCTCCTCTTGTATTTTGCCAGCTCCTGTTTGGTAAGGTATCCTCACCTGTTTAGAGTCCAGCTCAGGGTTTTGGGAAAGGTAAGGTTTTAAGGTGGCTCATCTGATTGTGATCTGGCATTTTTGCTGAGTAGAGCCGGTGGTGGTTCAGCGAGGAGTCTGTCCCTAGGTGTGCTAGAAATGGTGTTCCTGGGATTCCATGCCTGCGAAGTGCCAGTTGCAATTCCTGTGATACCATTTCTTTGCTGGCTTTAGTTTCTCCTTCATGTTTCTCTCTTTAGGGTGACATTTGCTTTATTTAACCTTTAAGGTATTTCAATCACAACAACTACCCATACTTTACTAAGATTGTTTCATACTACATCATTTCAAGAAAATCACTGGGGCCTCAACATCCTGTCTTTCCAACTCCTTGTGTCAATTGTGGTACCTCCACTCAGTACTTTTTTTTTAATGTACCATGAATCAAACTTAGGGGCTCACACTTAGTAGGCATGTGCTGCACTGCTGAGCTACATACCCGGCCCTCAACAGTACTTTTGCCTAAATAGGACTTACACTCCATTGCTGCAGCCATGTTTTGTTTTTTTTTTTTTTTCCTGCTTCTTTTGTTTTTGATGTAGTACTGGGGATTGAAGTAGGGTCTCGCTTGTGCAAGATAAGCACTCTACCAGTGAGCTACATCCCCAGCCCTACAACCATCTTTTGATTGCATTGCTTTATTTTCTATTTTTATTTTTGGTGGTACTGGGGGTTGCACCTAGGGCCTTCACATTGAGCTACATCCCCAGCCTTTTTTTTTTTTTCAATTTTTAGAAAAATTTTAACCGTTTTGAGACAGAATCTCACTAAGTCACAGAGACCAGGCTCAAACCTGCCTTAGCCTCCCAGAATCCTGGGACTCCAGGTGTGCGCTGCTGCTCCTGGCTTTGCTGTATGACTTCCTTTCTAGTTCTCCGTCTTGCCCAGCTTTCCACCTATGCGTTATGCATGCTTTGAGTAAAGTACACGTGTGCTGACTTGGTTTCCCTTTAACACGATCCCCCGCACTGTCCCCTGCGGCCAAATGGGACGGTCATGCGTGTACACGGTGATTCAGAGCTGCCCAGCAATGAGACATGAGTAAGGCCCCTGGTGTGTTAAATTCCTTACCACCGACTTGGAGAGGGTTCTTTGTCCTGCCCAGTCTTGTAATCTGTCTGACTACATTTTGCTGGTTGAATCGCTGTCCTGCTCCCCTAAATGTCTGTTTTACGCCTTTTGCCTCTGTGGCATTTCTTTTCATTTTCAGCTGAGGCCCTTGTTTTATACATATTTACAATGGAGGACCGGGGATTTAGCTCAGTGGCGCCACACCTGCCTCACAAGCCCAAAGTACTGAGTTTGATCCCTGATACCACCCCCGCCAAAAAAACCAAAACCGCAAACAACAGCGGAATTGTTCAGACTGTTTGCTGCTCTTCTGTCACCACTGCTATCCCTTTCTCATGTTAAGGACATTGCAGTGTTCATTTCTTTCTGCATGCCAGTGGGCTACATCATTTTCCCATTTCTAGTGGATTATTTCTATGAGCAGATCGGTATAGGTGATGCCAAAATATCCCCCACCTTTAAAAAACCTTCCCCAATAACTCAGCTTTGTTTAGTTACTGCTTTCAGTGGACGTCCTGCTTGTTGCTCTTCTGGTGCTGGGGATTGAACTCCACAAGCCCTTGCTGCTGGGTGTGTCCTAAACCTTTACTCCACGGCCTCACCACATGTGCTCAAACTTTGTGATCCTCTGAGCCTCCAGGTGGCTGTGGTAACCATGGCTTCTCTTAGAGGTTATTAGCAACCTCTTTGGTGGTAAATTCTCTAGTCACTTCTCCGTAGTTGTCTTTTGACATGATTGATAATTGTTCTTTCAAAGCTTCTTTTGCTTTGCCCTTTTGTTGTTGTTGTTACCAGGGATGGAACTGAGGACCTTGTGCTTGGAAGGCAGGCATGGCACCACTGAGCTAAATCCCCGGCCCATTTTTTGCTTTGCTTTTGGGAGACTTTTGCTTATTTTCAGCTTCTTTTGCTGATTCCTTTTTGTTGCCTCAGCTTCTAAAAAGGAGGCAGTGTTCAGGGTTCTATGTTTAGATCTTTTCTGTATTTGTATTTAGTCCCTTGTGATCTAATGTAGCTAGAATTACCACATATTTCAAACTGAAAAGTTTATCTTTAATCTGAATCTCTTTCTAAATCTCAATTTATATATCTGCTTGGGTACTCAGTGCTTTCAACCTGATGTCTGATAGACCTCCCCTATTTAATATACCACAGTTGAACCCCAAAGAATTGCTTGTTTCTGTTTTCCTCATCTTATTAAATATTAACTCCATCTTTTTAATTTCTCCGAAAACCTAGTAAACATTCTTGCCTTCATTATTTCTTATACTTGTACATTGAATTCAAATTTTATGTCATGAAAGAATGTGCTTTATCTCTCTTAAAAGCTGCTTTTAACTGAGTTTGAGGGTCATTAGTTTCAGGTCAGCCTGGGCTGCAGTAGTGGGTTATGTCTCAGAAACAACAACAGCAACAAAAAAAAACAAAACAAAAAATGAAGCAACTGGGTTAAGAACGAACGTATCCACAGTTTGCTATCTTCAGGTGGCACCTCTCAAGTATTTGTCATCTCTTGCCTATATTACCTTAGTATTGTCTTTTCTGGTATCCCTTCTTCTATTCTAAACATGACAGCCAGGGTGATTCTGTTCTAAGATGAAAGTCCAGTTTTACTCCTGTGTTCAAGATCCTCCAGTGGCTTTCCATATCACTGAGTATAACCTTTAATGCCTACAAGATGCTCCGTCGTCTACTTCTTACCTCTTTGAGTTTAAGTCCTACTGGTTTCTTCTTGGTGTACTCCACTCCAGCCTTCATGAGGTTTCTTGAAGCTGCCAAGCAGGGCTTTGCTTCGGAGCTCTCTGTGACCAAGCTGCTGTCTTATTCTCTGCAGAATCCCAGTGTTCAGAATGCTGGAAGGCTCTTGATGGACACCTGTGTATACAGGAGCTGCAGATATAGTTATTTGCTAATAGCTTGTGCTCATTTCTGGAGTTAAAAGTATTTGGACTTCACTTAAAGCAGTATAGTCCTGTAAAAAATAAGTAGAAACAAATTTAGATACAAGAGGAGAAGGTAAGTTTCAAATGAATTTTTGTGTATGCAAAGAGGAGACAGTAAAATGGTAAGGGAGAAAGGAAGGAGGTAGGAAAGGAAGAGAGGTAAAACCAGTAGAATAAAGGAAAGCTTGCTTCGGCAGTAGGGTGACAACCCTTAAATGTTGTCTGGCTTGCCTTGTAATAAGCTGTTTCTCTTGGATTCTGAGTTGGTCATTTATGGTCTTAAACGCTTTGAGTTGGATTGTGTTACATCTTTATCTTTTTCTGGTGAAGAAAGCAGAGCTAATTCATTTTGTTTTATGTGATTATCTGCATTCCCTCTTCCTTTTGAATTTCCAGCTTTTTGCCCTTCATCACTGTCTTGAGTGATCATTGCTTTCTCTGACCATTTACTTTCTGCTGCTCTTTGATTTCTTCTTCTAGTCATTCTCTGTAAATCAGTTAAATGTTTTTGTCTTGTTTCTCAAGTTTAGTTGTTTTTTATTCTCTCTCTTGGTTACTTGGAAATGCTCTAATTTTGTAAAGACGTAATGTTAACTTTAGTTTGAAAGGGTCTTATTAGAAAGCGAAAATTTTCTTTGATAAGTGCAATACTATAAAGTTGTGACTAAACACAAGGTGTTTATGGAGAGTAGAATGTTGCAAGTCATCTCAAGAATTTTTTAAGCAGGGCTGGGGATTTAGCTCAGTGGTGCTGCTGTCTGGCAAGCGCAGGGTCCTGAGTTAGGTCCCTGGTACTGAAAAAAAAAGTTGATTGAGGAGTGATTTTTTACTTTTTTTGAGGATCTACTTAGCATCACACAATATCCTCATTGTATTATACTAGCTAATAAAGACAGTATGTGAGTCTGTTTACAGTAGTGTTATTGTAATAATGGTCCTAGAGTAAAATAGGGACCTGTAGATAGGTTCATATATTTTGGTGTACCCCAGGTTTCAGTGACACCTTAATATTAAAATAATTTTACAAGGGGCCGGGGATTTAGCTCAGTGGTTCCACCACCTGCCTTGCGAGATCAAGGTTCCCCGGTACAAAAAAAAAATTTTTTTAGAAGAAAAAAATTCATGTTTTTTCTTACAGTACTATGGATTGAACCCAGGGCCTCATGCATTCTAGGCAAATGCCCTACAACTGAACTACATCCCCAGCCTAAAAAATGTGGTTTATTGAAGAGCTTCATCTATATATTGCTGTACATTTTGTGTGCCAGAGTAAGTAGGAAGTTGTTAGAAAAAAAAGTAGAATGTAAGAATTCTTAGTGTTTGATTTTTGTTTCATTAATGTAAAAATTCTTATGGGAGAAGGACTTTTACATTCATGAGACATGTATAATATATATTTATATTTATTTTTATATTTGTGTGCTCTGAAAATGGTCATTTCTGATCTTAAGTAGTAGTTTGAATCTTGAAGTAACAGTTGTTAAGCCAACTGAGTGCTCTTTAAGGGTTGTATAATTTAAATGATTTTTCTTTACCACCAGGATACTCATTACTTAGGGTCGAGTAGATGGCTAATTTGTTGGTTCTCACCCCCCATGGGAATGGAACCGGTGCCTTGCACATGCTAGGCATGTGATCTTACTACTCAGCTAAATTCTTACCCATTTTATTTTCCTTAACCCCTTCCTCTTAGGTGTTGTGTTACTATTTGTTGGCAAGCTGCTATATATATATATATTTTTTTTTTTTGTAGCCATTTCTGTTACCCTATAGTGCTGTACTTCCTGTGTAGTGCATTTGTTGCTCAAAACTTCGCTTGTGGTGAGGGAAAATAGAAAGCCATGTAACTGATGTGGCCTCTTCTACTGAGAAATGATGCATTATTTTTTAAAGTAGAGACAGGGAACTC